GTAACAGCTTAGGTTGGTTGGTTAAGGGTTGACCCCAAACAACCAAGCATATGCCAAAACAGTATTGTTCAAGTATTCATTCACTTCCTTAATTTTCATAAGCGTTATATTCCCTAATATCTTATATTGAATGTTGAGAGCCTTTGTTTGTCTGAACAGATAATCCCACGCTTCACTGTGACTGCGCTAAGATCGAAATAAAGATCTATTCACTACTTGTCTGGTTTCTTCTATCAATGGCACGAGGGTTACTTTAAGGCACGAAAAACTTACTTAAGCTAACTTCCGAAACAAACCAATTAATTAGAGGTCTAGTACAGAAAACTAGACCGTGTAAACACCTACTCTTAAAGAGCAATTTGGCGCTATATTTCACTACTGGTTGAAGTGGTCTAAACAAATTCTCGGGAGTCTCGCAGGAAGAATCTTGGTATATTTTTTAGAAGTTGTCATGTTATTTTATTCTTTTATATCTCTTATTCAAAACTTTCGTCCTGCCTATTTCGTTTTTAAATGTTAGCACATATTACGTTTTAATCTACTAAAGAAAATGCACAGCAAAATCATCGACAACAATAATTACTCTATAACTAAGAGGACGATAATTAGTGGCAGAGATTTAATTAGAAGAATAGTAATGAGTCGAAAACTTCTGCCCATAACAACCAGAGTACAAGAAAGGTGAAGACACATAACGAGCCTCTCAGCAATGTGTATAACACGAATCACCCAACTCAAACACAAACACTGAGTCTTCATATAAGTAACCAGGATCATACTCCCACTAAAGTTCCCACTTCTAGGAAGACCAGAGGTAATAGGATAAAAGGGTATGACGAAGTACCCGTAACGCATCCTGCCGAAGAGAAACAACGCAAGAATGCTATTTGTATGGCATTCTCGTCGCCCGGTATATTCGGGGACCCAGAATTAAAATTTTATTTCTGTGGTGACTAGGTTCAATGCCGCTTTGATGCAACACTACCTGGGTAATATAGTAGGTTCTTGTTAGGCCAAACCATTTATGATTTTGATACATTCGCCCATAGTGTAGAGGAAATGTACTGAAATGCATCAAAAATGACCCCGGCAATCTTCACGAACATAACTAGTTCGTCCAACACAGGAGAACCAACTCGTTATTGTGGTAGGCGCAACACCAGGTCACACATCAATAAAAATACAGACAATTGTATATAACCCATTATTTGTTCACAGTAAGAAGCAGCGCGCGGGGTTGAGGAGGGAAATAGCAATGGTATAGATCTCAAAACGCTAAAAATTAGGGGGTGAAGACGTCGGACAAATCTCCATGACTTTATTTCATATCCCACTGTCGGGGAGTAGCTTACAAGGTTGTGTGGCAATATTCAATAAAGGACAATAGAACAAATACTGTACAATGTCAGTGATTGGTACCATTCCAGCTATACTTGGCCACCTCTATAAGGCCGAAAATTTAGTGAGAGTTGAATCCCTTCAATTAAGAGTAACTTTTGCTTCAGTAAATTTTACAGAAAAATCTTACTGACATCTGAGAACCATCAATTAAACGTTTCTTACAAACGCAAGTTAAATACAACAAACCATGGAGCCTAAGAAAAGATCAGAATACACTCAAGAACCAACCAATATGGTGGCTAACGAGTACATGGGCTAGAAATCGACAGTCCGGATGAAGTTCGGAACACGACATACAACAGTGGGGTTGGCTGTCGCATAACATGGTGATTTGTAGTAGTATTGGTCGAAAAGCTGAACATGAAATAATTGGGAAAGTACACATTCAACATTGGTAAACGCGGATGACATGGCTTAGCCTCGCAGACGCGTTTGTTCCGTACAACCTATTTTTATTCGCTTCAAATATATTATTCTATCTTAAGCGTAAATGTGCTCTTTAGAAGTACCAAGTATCATGTTGCCAATTGTCACGATACCATAATTTAGTGTAGAAGATGTGGTTTCTATGTAAAATCTTATAGATTAGGTAGTCACATCATGATAGATCTACGATTTTAGGATTAGGTCTATTATTAGAGCAGTACTAATAATGAACTTAGACCATAATTTTACAGATTCACACATAGAAGATGTTTAGAATGCCCAGGTCTCCTCGTCTGTCACACCTCGAGAACAGTAAATCACATTGTCCGCTGGCTACGAGCTTCAAAAACGAAGAGGACATGACTGAGGCTCTTCACCGTCTGGTAAGGCTCTATTAATCATCTCTCTAGTCCTATCAGACCTACTTAAAATACCAGTCGTCACATGCTCTTCAGAGGAGCATCTGGTGATGAGAAATACTTCGAAGTGCATCTGTATGAACGCAGTTAAACCAAGAGGTAAAGTAGGAGAGATCAAAAACATAAGTTCCCAGTTAAGGCTTGAGATCATAGTCCTAACTTAAATATGGCTAGTTCGCGACATTACGGATGACGAAGTAGTCTTGCGAGGCATAACACTTTTCAGATGCGATAGGGTTCACAGAACAGTAGGTCGCGATAAATATGAACAGTGGCTTAGAACCCGCAACATCACATCGTACCGAGTTCACTGAGTGACAGAATCATGTTGGGGTTATTTTCGTGTTAAAGGCGAAAAGTACTTGATTGGAGTAATATACGGGTTCCCAAGACCGGTTCTAACACAAAAAGAGATGAGATAATACAGGCTGTACTATGGTTAGCATACACAGGGGCTAGTTAACTACCAGCTCGAGACTTCAACACTACATACCTAAGTCTCATAGGGCTGAATACAATCCCCACAAGGTGTTTCTATAAGTGACTGGCCAAGGCCACCAAAAGTTCAGAACTGGATAGACATTTGGGTGATGCCACGAGATGTGACCAGAATGGAAAACCACTAAACTTAGATTATTTGGTAATAAATCACTAGTTTCTAGTGGGAGTGACGATGGTACAGTCACGATTCATGTGATCACGAAAGAGATGCTCCAGAGCGACGAAGACGCTCCCTCCACATTTTAGCACACTACACCACTATGGGGCTGCGTCTTTAACTCTCTTCGTGACCATTAGAATGGTGTCGGCAAACAGTATATGACTGCTGGAAGATAGCGTAGAATATGGTTCAGAATGCTATTTTACACAATGTACCACAGACAAAACACACACCTGGAGAGTGATTCTGGGTTGAACGAAACACAGGATTTTGCTTCGGGACCAAAGGAGAGCCTAGCACAAGTGGCAAGTCTCTCTGAAAGATTCGAATGTAATGGAAATTCTGATAAACGAAAGGACAAGGAAACACATGGATTGAAACAGCAGTCCTCATGAAGCCCGACACAGGTTTGAGAAAGGCAAGTCCCGTGTACACAATCTCCTCAAAGTATAAGGCAGCTGAATTACCTGCTAGGGTTCAAAAAACCTGTTCATGTAATATTACTGGACATTGCAAAACCCCATGACACAGTACGAAACCTACTCTTCATGGGGGAGGGTACAAAGACAGGTTTCATTGACCCAGTTTTACCTTGACTCCAAAACCATATAGGGAACAGGATGTATCACATCAAGATAAATAGAATGCATGCAAGCTGAAGAGTCTCGAACACCAGGAGTTCCATCGAGGATCATCACAGGTCCACTTCTATTCTCGATCTTTATTGATGACATTCTAGATAAAACTAATTGAGTGGCACAGGCCTGTGAAGATGACGCGAGGATTTGGAAGTTCATAAGAAGCTGAAACGATTCACTTGAACTTCAAAAGGACCTTACAACACTAACGTAATGGGTGATAGGTTATTACTTAAAACTTCACTTGTTGAAATATCATATCATAAAGATTCTGATATAAGGACACAGACAAATTGCGTTCTCTATGAAAATCCTCTCACGACTGCCAAGTTAGAACGCGATAGCGGGCTAGTAACCACAGAAAGCTTAAAAGACGTTTCAAACTACGTAAAAGATACAGCAAAAGTAAACATAACTATACAATTTTGCAAAGAAAAATTGTTGCAGTCACCTCAAAATTGTCTCTAGCACTGTTTGAAACACTCACAGCCTCATTTTGAATTCCAAAATGTCGTCGCGCCCCCTCCCTTTATAAGAGACATAAACTTTTTAGACCAAATACAGAGATAGGCAATCAATTGGGTGATAGGCCTAAAACATAAATCTTACGGGGATATATTCCAACACCTGGGATCATTGTCGCCAAGCTACAGGGGAATAAGAGGTGATTTGATAATGGTATACAACATATAGTTACCCACAACTACCCTGTCGAGAGCGTATTACATCATCACTAGGCTCCTTGAGGCAACCCTGGAAAGACTGCGCATCTAAGAGTGAACAACCATGAAGGCTCTCACTTTTTCTTACTGAGAGTTTCCTCCATTTGAAAAGCCCTCCTAGCCAGAGTGACCATACACCTCTCAGTACACATCTTCAAGAGGATACCTGATAAACTCACAGTCATTTACGAACTTACACCTCCCACTTGAACTAGGTGTGCTTGATTCATATCTCATAAGCTACCTGCTGTTACATGTATCCAGTGTCAATAATTAGTTCCCGTCTCGTTTATTATCATCTCACTCTCCGCTTTCATTTCTTCGCTTCTGCCTTGTCACATTGCCTGTATTACCCACTAATTAACTTAACTATTTCTTTCCTGAAACAATCGCCTTCTCGTATCACGTGAACTTTCATTTCATTATTTTTCACAATACAAGCAACCAACCTCCTGGTTGCTAATTTGATAGTTCCTGATATATAGAAACCCTACTTTTTTGAAACAGACTCACCCACTCGAATAACAAGATATAAAATTTCACAAATATATATGAAACTGACTAGAGTTGGTGCAGTGGGATAATCAGATTATCACTAGTTGGATGTTACCGAATACGCGGAAGCAAACAGATACCGTAAGAATCAAATGCAAAAGTTTGCGACATTGGAAGCGCAGTAAGCGAAAGCTTCTTTTATTCCGTTTACAAGTATTTGACCGTTCGAGTAATAACCGCTACTTCAAAATGCTTCGTAACAGTCGGTATAATATATCACTGACCGGAAATGAGTCACAGTACTAAGTAGTTTGAGAAGGCTTACGGTCAAAAGCAAAGGCTCAGTTAAATAATGTACACGGTTTGGCTGATATTCAAGATGTGATTCGCTGATGCTCTTACTTGCTTACTTTGACTAAGTATTGAGAAAGCCTGTTTTAGTTTGAATGCACTTGCAATTTAGTACATGTGCCTAAATAATAATACAACGTACGTCATATTGTACAAAATTAGGAGTAGTTTTCAGATGCTAGAGCATCGAACGGTAACGAGCTTCCAATTTTGGGGAAACTCTCGAAGTCAAATGACCTTCACCAAAGTTTGGGGAAATACCCAATGTCAAATGACCTTGACCAAGGTTAAAGGGGAGTTTTGGGGTTTTTGTGCCGTTTCCCCCAAATTGGGAGCTTGGGTTATGTATGTTAATTTTAATCGCCAAGTCTTAGAACAACTTGGAGAAATCTGCAAAGAAAGAACAGCTGATGCATTATTAATAAGGCACGTGTACTAAATCGCAGGTGCATTTAAATCCAAACAGGCTTTCTCAACACTGAGTCAAAGGGTTTTCCATGTAAGTGAGAAAGTAAGAGTATGATTTAAATGATGCTCATTGAGAACGAAGTTAAACGTTAAAAGATTCCACTGGTTATTCCTATTCGTAACGCCTGTTCAACTATTGGGAATCAAAACGATCTTGTGAATTCTGAAATTTGGAGAAGTCACAACGATACGCAAATTACAATTTTTTTACATAACTAGCTACGTGAAGCTTTACTTACGGTTATGTTGGTTAACACTGAAGACTGTACCTATAGAACAGTGGAGAACAGTTGTCACTTCGAATTAGCAGATACATGTTCCTGTGCTCTTCGATAACTCTTGTAATTTATCTCACATGCCTTGAAAATAACCTTGAGTCGCGATGTCGTTGACAGATGATGACAGGAACCGATTACTTAATGTACCTGAAGTATATATATATTACTTTTTATGCAGCCGTAAAACTTGCACTTCTGAAGTGTCAATTAGCGTGAAATGACTGGCAACTTCGGATATCATGATGTGCGATAAAATATATCGCATTGACGTTTTAGGATAATCATCCATTAACTGCGTCAACATGGCCATCTGTAATAAGAACAAATGATCAAATTAATGTTGATGACTTACAAATCTGTCCTTTACGTCTTTCTGTTATAGGTACGCGTCCAACGTCCCTAGTTCCTCCTCAGATGACAAAGGGAACTGTTGACTTGATAGTCCACAATCGAATTTCCGAGGATGTTCGCGCTCACCGAACTCCGACAGTAGCTGCTTCATATTTCAACTCGGGTCAGAAATGCCCGACGATATGTTCTGCAGCACAGTATGCAGTCTATCAAATCTGAAAAACTTCACTTGATCGTACAGGTGATTTACTCGGCTGCTAACGCATTGCCTACACGCCTAGGTTCGAACGTTGATGGTGACGCATCTAATTATGTCGAACTACTTCATTAACATCTACAAAGTGAGGAAACCTACTTGGCAATCGGCGAGGTAACACTGTCGAACAACCAAAATTTGGGATATTAGACGTGGCTACTTCCAGCCTGCATCTCGGCCACATCCATGTCAGTGTTTAGTGCCAAGGTGTTTTCGTCTGTCGAACGGTTTGTACGTTAAACATCCATCAGTGTTATAATACTGATAGGCGCATTATTACACTTCATAGCTTTATAAGTTTATTAAACGAATCTGTTCGAACTATTTAACTTAGCACCACACTCAGTGTCTCAGCTCTTAATTATATCAAATATAACCTGGTCAAGCGCACTATGGTTGTCATTAGTCAGTTCATCAGTTGCTCATGACCACGTGGGTTATATTCATGGATATGCAACTGGTTGCAATTGTATTGATGATTTTTATGTCCCACCTATGTTACTTGATAGTTTTATCATACATGTCCGGTATTTTATCCCACTTATTTCGCAAAACTCCTTATAGCTGTATTGCTGATATTGTACGCTACCTTATTTGAATCCCGGTTACTTGATATTTTCGTTCGCTCACATACAAAATGTCATCGTTGCACTTCAGATCGAATGCACATGGCATATCATATGGTAGTTGTAATATGTATCTTATTTTAGAGTTTTAAAGGGTTTTACCTCATTGATAACCTTACCTCATTCTCGTCTAACAATTGGGTAGTGTTATTTCAAAGTGTTCCATATTTTCTCTATCACGACGCGCTGTTAATTGCTCTGCTAGCTTGATAACCCTTGCATTGTTGCTTGTGTTGCCTACCGAACTGGTGTATAAGTTCTCTATTAAGAATAATTAACATAATTACAAACTGGTTTCCATTTATTGAAAAGAAAGTGAATGGATAGGTTAGTCCGTTACTAACTTAGTTATCTTAATTCTTCTCTAGCATTATAACTTGCCCGTTTATTATACTCCCAACATCTTTCTGTCACAAAAATACAGATAGTTTTGACGATTTGTATTTCTTTTATCTCAGTCCCATTCAATGAATGCACTAACCTTCTATTAACATCGCGAGAGCTGGTCCTTACAGATCAGGTATTCTGGTACGAATTATAAATCCGCCAAGAAAATTCATCAAATAATGACTGCAGGCAACTAGATGAATTCACTACACTTGAAGCTGTTACAACTATAAACAGCTTGTCACTGACTATACTCGAGATAAAGACTATCAAGCCATATAGATTTCAAGCTTCCACGCTTGTTGACTGGTAATGGTGAACTAGTAGCTCTTGAAGATCTGTCTCAGAGTAACACGTTTTTACACTTGGAATGGCAGAGTCCTTGTCCCCATTTTTCAGGGACCTACTTAGAAACTGGTAAGTGTTGGCACGATTAACGTCGTCAAGGTTACCCACTGTAATCTTCAACATTGTTCCTCGTAGAGTGGATCAACTAAAAGCTGAGTTTTGCAGAAAATTATGTTGGTGTGCTTACCAGCTATTAGTTCAGATGATTTGAAACGGAGACCATTGGATACTGTTTGTAGGATTCAAGCTTGATATTGTGCACTTGTGGATGCTCTTGCAAGTAAAGGATTTTGATCTGAACATAATGTATACACAATAATCTAACTACTTTATTAAAGTGAATGTAAATATAATCAGTAAATTATGCTTCTATCGTTTATTGTATTCTACTTTTACCATTTCCTGTTTATTAAAGGCACTATTTCATCTCGTTGCCATAAGATCGCTGCCGTAGAGTTGTAAGAATGCTAATAGGGGTTACTCATGAAGATAAATTAATAGTGGTAATAAGAAGAGAGAAGTACAATGTGACACTTCTCATTTTTTTACTATCACTCATTGCGGCAAGCAATCATGACAGATTTTTAGTGGATATTATTGATATATTAGGAACCCAATACATGTTGGATACACGCATTGTCATATAAAAAATCGTTTTTCTTCATCTCACACCGTTCACTATGTGGGACTGGTTTGTGTTTCGTTTAGCGAACAAACGACCAAGCCTTTAATATTCCAGATAAAATTTCAAATTCGCTTGCTGTAATAGTTGCAATTAATTTTGATCTGAAAAAGTCCCTGTCTGTGATGTGTTGGTTGAACTATTGATGAAGGAAATAGTTCAATTGTAAACTGGAATCCTATTTGGAACATTCCAAGGGACATTTCGACCAATGTAATCCAATGCTTCTGTCACGCATGATCTGGCTGAAATACGATCAGGACATTAATGTTTCTTCACTAACGTTTATAAAACTACTTGAGGCCGTGAAAGACCTGAAACAGTGAAGTGGCATAACTTGGGGGTTTGGATTTTATGATTCAAATATAGCCATCAGAAATAACTAGGTTGACTAGCTGAGGTATCTGTTGTGATACGGCACTTCAGAATAATTCTTACGGATTCTCGATTATTGTTCTTCATAATGAAGACGATGATTTGTCCCCCAGTAAGCACAAAATCAATTCGATTAAAAGCCGTGCAGAACCGAAGGTCTGTGATGACAAGTTCATGAAAGCAAGAAAGTTTCAGGCACTACTAAAGATTCATCGATCCTATTTTTCTTGATTCTAGAACAAAAAACAGTAGTAAGTTTAGTAAATTCTTTTTAATCAGATTGACTCATTCATCAGGTAATTAAGTATGATCCACATTTGGAGTGTGTGTTAATAATACTACTAGGTTGCCCAGAGCAGAGTTTGAACATAGGACTGAGAATTAAACACCTTAACCACTAAGCCACCGTTTGCAGACTTCACAAATTTCCCATCCCATCTGCATGCATGCTAGTGTCTAGCACATAAATTCGGAAGTAAATATACTATATGTCTAACGACACTATTCTTATTCATATAATTCTCAATAGTATGTGGAGTGTTGATAACTGAAGTAATTATAGGGTGTTATATCTACCTATAGTGTTAACCACCATTGGTCAACAATTTAACAGGCACAGACTTTATTCGACTTTCCGAGTTAGGCTTCTGCCTTGGGTGTTCTCTGGCCGACCCAAAGTACACAAACGACGCAGTAAATCTCATTGAAGGCATAGAAAGGACATAAAGGATTCCAAAAAACTGAGTTAAAATCTAAGGATCTTTGGGATTTGTTTTTCTAATTCCGCGTGTATAATATGACATTTATACATCTTGGGTATTTGATCGTACGTACCTTTTGATTACTGTTTGTAAATAGCCGAACTATGCAACCTTCAATACAATTGCCAGATTTTAAATAGCTGTTATATGTAGTGAGTCGTTTCACGAGGCTTTAAACCTCGGTTGAGTTTCCGTAGCTATACGTAATAAGTTATCGTCCACCTTGAGTCAATATGTTAATTATAGTCGACGTGATTATGAGAAAGCTGAACATAACTAAGTCAATTCATGATAAATAGTGTGTATAAATTCTGTGTTTTCCAACAGCTAGAATAACCAATGGCTTACAGATTTTAATGGAAGTATCAACTAAATTCTTACCTGTCGGATGTTAAGGCGTAGACGTGTTTTACTCTAGCTATCTTATTGATGTCTATCAGTGATGCATATTCATCGTCGCCGCATAGAATAAGAATTAAAAATGGTAAGTGTAACATATTGAGATGAGCTGTTCGTGTAGACGAAATGTATGTAGAAGTGATATTAGTTAATCGCTCCTAAGGTTAGATAATTCGTTTATTGTTAACATATTCTTAAACAAAACCAAATCTAATGACAGTTATTCTACTTTCTTTTTTGCTTCATTCATGAGTTGCTATCAAGTATTTGTTTTTAAGTGCCGTATTCTCTTCTTTCGTATCAAACTCGTTCATTCTTTCGCTTTCGTTGAGTTTATAATGCATATTAACCTCCACAAAACTTTAGTGAACATGTTTGACAGACAGGACCACTGTTAACATGTATTTTGTTTGCTGTGTCATCTCAATGTTTGCATAGTTATTAACTTCCCAAGTAAAATTTTTAATCAATGCAACTAAGCGTCCGTTAATCATTCTTTGGCATAATGTATTTTCTTTATTGTAAACACATATAATAAATACCATTACAGTAGACGTTTCTTTATCCTTTGATTTTCAGCTAATACATCAGATTGAATAAGGCGAATTGTAGTCATCTGTCTATATTCATCACATATTCAATGAAATACTCGATTGACTTTATTCGTATTGGGTGGACAAGGCGTATTTCAGATCACTACTTTAGTTCTGCATGTACGATATCATTACTAAGAGGACCTAAATTGATTCTTGTTGACCCTGGTAGTCCATGGGATTCGCAGTGGCTTCTTTCTCAGCTCTCATCTCGTGGAGTAAATCCTTATGATATTGATTTTGTTGTTTGTACACACGATCACGTCGATCATATTGGAAGCTTACATATATTCCCAAACTCTACTCGGATTGTGGGCGAGAATTTCGAAGTTCAAGGTCTTAAAGATTGCTTCAGTATTCTCAAAACGCCTTATGAGATCGACTCCTTGATTCACATAATATCTACACCTGGGCACACTTTGTCAGACATATCAGTCATTGTAGAGGATATTGACCAATTCGGTCGTGTTGCCATAGTGGGTGACTTGTTTGAATGTGAGCAAGATATTATTGATCCATCTTTGTGGCATTCATCTAGTAACGATGTAAGCATTCAACAAAAAAACAGAGAATTCATTATCGATAACTTTGACTACATTGTTCCAGGTCATGGACCAGCCTTTAAAGCTACTAAAAGGTGGCAAAACTAACTTTGTATGCATTTTTACCCCGTTCATTGTAATCCACTCGACATTCGTTACACTTTTGTTGTCTGTCATGAAATTCTATGGAATAATCATTTGTCTTTCTAAGTTATTATAAGTCGCAAAATTCTTTGATTTTCCCATTATATTTCCGAGAATTTCATTTAGTTATGACATCATAGAATAAAGTTATTATTAGTCAAGACATAGTAAATACGTTTATTGTATATAACCCTTTGGTGCTTTTCGTACTCCAGGATTTTAGAACGGATTAGCTGGTTTAGTTCGGTTCTTTATACGACTAAGGAGGATTGCTGTATTGATTGTCGTATTTCTATTTGTTGGTGCTCATCGAGAGGACTTTTCTGCAAACTCGAATGAACGTTTGTACTCACAGACTCAGGCCGATAGCTCGCATTGCCTCCGTTATATATTTTTATTCGATTGAGGTTGAATAAACCCTAAGTATTTAAATATCACAGTGCGTTTAAATGAGAATGATAAAGGCAGCAAAACCATGTTTGTATCCGTAAAAAAGTTTCACAGCATTAAGATTTCGGTCTAGTCTCTATTATTGAGAATTAGAAACTTGATAAGTCACGTGTTACTTGACCACCAAATATTTCAACAGTCCTCCCATATTGACAGAAACTTTGAGGAAAGTCGAACCTCAGACTGTCAAATAACTAGATGTAATACTGGTGGTAGTGACTGACTTAAAAATGTACCAACATTGGGAATACAGTTGTACATACGTAATTTGCCTCGCACTAGAGCGGGAGTGGTTCATGATTGTTACACGACTGAAGGTAGTAGATGTGAATGCTTACTGTATCCTCCATTCCTATACATATATCTCACCTATCAAGGTATATACTCCTATAGACGTTATATGGGATTGAATACATGATGTCTCTATTATCTTTAGAGTAACATTGTGACTTTATTGATACAGATGCTTAAGCGTTACTACCAGGTGTCTAAGATATACTTTTATTGGTATTATTTATATGTAGGAAGTTTTTTGATTACTAGATTTATTTATTTAGTGGACCAATCTATGTTTTACAGGGAGTATTATTTAGACCTACCGTATTAAATACTAAGCACACGTATTTTACATACGTGTTTCAAAGTAGTTCATAAATGAGCTTAAACCTCTCAGTTCAAGACAGTCTTCATAGTATTTCTTCAAATATTACATAAAACCAATATATCCTTGTTCAGTTATTTGAATTTAGTTTACCTCACATTTGGAATTCAAAAAGAGGTACTTGTTTAGTGTTTTGGAACTTCCCAATAATTTACCTAATTAAGTTTTTGAGTCAAAGTCTTCATTATGACAGATTGCCTTTTGAAGTTAATTTTCTGTTCTCTGCAATGTGTAACCCTGACTTCAAATGTACGATTGTACACTACCTGACAAGTTTCATTAATTTCTGAAATTGGAGGTTGTGACTTGTTTACTAGTTCGCAATAAATAAACATATCTTAGTTCTAGAATTAAGTGATTTTAGTATTCTAACAGTTTTATTGTGCGGTAGCGATTTACTATAGATGAATTTCCAGATCCATATCAACTTTATCTGGACGAGTTTAACCTTAGCAGTAAAAATCCATGGTATAACTTCAGTTCTATAAGGGTTGTTTTGAATCCTTAGGTTTCTTTTGATGTTTTGAAGTTGGAAACCAATAGTAGTGTGTCAATTAATAAGGGAGGATATAAAACTCAGCTTAGTACACATACTACTTTTATTACAGCTCACTTAGTAGAAGAACCTCTTTGTATGCTCACTCGACTTTCCCGTTTTGTTCTTAGTCCATTTTGAGAAGAATTACTGGGGACGTTCCCAGAGGAACTTGAATGTTGTTTTTGTGGTTGAGCATTCGTAGCTGCAAATGATTCTTCTAACGCCTTTTCCTCGTCGTAAAGTAAGTCAAACTGTCCCATTTGTTCCTTAGTGACATTTCTATTAGATTTGACGTCTGGAACTGTTCCGTTGGGTACAACGATGTTAATAACGTCGTTTACTAACTTGTATTTTAAAATACGGTCACTAGCCGTTGTAGCCGACAGTGACGGAGATGCATTTACCTCTACAAGCCATGGCTTAAAATTGTCGTCAATTATGATATCGTAACCATAACATTCAAAGCAGTGTCTGTCGTTTATCATCACATTTGCGACTGCTTTCAGAGAATGTACTATTATCCAATGGATCTCATCAAATAGCTTGTCGGAGATGGGTTTTCCTTTCGTTCCCTGCAACCATAAGCGGAAATTCTCTGTTGTCCATTTACCACCATGAATACTGTTATAATGAATTCCATGCTTTTGTATTGAAACGTTCGTCAGGTGAACAAACATATTATCTAGTTCACTGACATCCGAATTATACCTAACCGTGCAAAACCTGCAGAACCCAAGCTTATACACGTATGTCTTGAGAGGCCTGAACGAAGTAACAAGGACATAAAGGCGCAGGTCAAACTTTTTGCCTCCAATTAATAGTGGGTTATCGATATACCTTGATATAACGTAAGAATCTCTACAAGCCGGTGTTGCACCAATTAAACCAGATTTCACATCTCTAGACCATCGCTTAAGTTGAGAGAGTTTATTAATCAGGAAAATACCGACTCCACGGGCTTTTCCACTAGGCTTCATTATCCATGTAGAAGAGGGGTTGCGTTTAAACTCTTCTGCAAACAGGTTATAATCCTGTGGCAACATGTAGGTGACCGGTATAAAATCCAAGAAAAAATACCTTCCAGTATCATCTTTTACAGCCAACGGGTTTCCCTCCTTCTGCAATTCGCGTCTGTACCTTTTAATATTTCTGACCATTAGATCTTTTCTGGTAAGTTCAAAATGGTTTGGGAAGTGGTTTACAATCTGAATTAGTTAGCGCAATTTATTTATCGTTGAAACCTGGTTATCTGATAATCTATATGATGTTTCATTGCTAAAGAGTATGCGTATGCTTTGGACAGAAGCCCAAAAAATATTCCAATCCTCATCAGGATGCACAACTGTCCAGCCACGCGCTTCGAAATTACTTGTTATGACTGATTTCTCCACGTCTGTTGCATATTTTATCTTACTCATACTTGCACACTATTCAAAACTGTGTGTTGCTATGTGAGGACAGAAGTTATTTCACTAAGTTAGATAAACAATTTAGTTCCGCTTATACGCATGTATTGTACAGTCTTAAGTTAATTGAAGGAGTCTCTTATGCTTAAAATACAATTTACCAGTTCTCCACTATTTGTTTTTACTTTTTATATCAGTGCGTGGTAAGTTTCATTTCTTCAGTAATAAGGAGAGTAGGTTGGCGGACCTGTGTGAATCCTAACAGTATGCCTTGCAGTGTAGGTCTAGCTTCTCCTTTAAAATGTTCACTGATGGGGCTGATACCACCTGTTCGGTCAAGGCGTCCCAGTCATTGACCGCTTGATGAGAAAGACAGAAACCCACCATAAGTTTATTAGATCGCCGTTTGTGAACCTTCTTGCTATGACGTTGGAGATTATTGTGCTGGAAAGAGCATAACGATAAGACATTTTAACACCCAAATCGTAATTAAGGATACGAAGTGCCAATATATGGTCACCTCGCGTCCTACAATACGACAAAGGGAAAATGTTTAGGCATTTTAAGCCCTCATCGCAAGGGAGTTTAGAAAGACCCTTCACCAATTTTGTTCCCGTACGCTGAACACGCTTAAGTGAGTTTGTATCCCTAATAAAGCATGGGCCAACTGCTTTGACACAGCACTATAAGTGTGGTCCTACATAGGTGGTATACAAAATTTGAAACATCTGTTTGTCAAAGCATTTGAGTTCGCGGCTAAGTGACCATAACACTCAAAACTCTTTGGCAACTGCTGCGTTTCAATGAGTAGTTGCTTTTAAGTCGAAACTTCCATTATCTCTAAGTTCTTATGTTACTGCACGCGAGGAAGAGATGTACCATAAATTTTATAGTGTTAACTGTTTCCGTGTCCGATCAGCAAGAGCACACTCTTCCTAGAATTAACTTCTAAGCCCCTAAATCGAGCTTTTCTAATTAATTCGTTCAAGTCAGCTCGAATACCATAATGATCAGCCTCAATTCTTAATGTTCTACAGATTTCGACATCATCCTCAAACAATAATGTTAGCGATCTAGTCAATAGCGGCAATTCATTAACGTAGGGAAGGAAAGGTAGAGGACCAAAGATGGTGCATGCTGTTCAAACATGAATGTTTGTTCTGAAACCTTTGTTGCTCGGGTGTTAACAGATTGTATAAATCTATGTGATTTAGTACCTTAACCCGAATTATCTTTTTAAGTAACTTAACGGCTGTGTTGATTAGACTGACAGGCCGGCATTTAGATACGATGTGTCTCTGTCCATCCTTAAATATAAGACCGATCATGGAATCTCTTGGGTGTTGAGCAAGTGAAGCGGACATATTGAAGAGCATTGAGAGTGGTCTTGAAATAATGTCCATAAAAGATGACAGCAGCCGTGGATGTAACCCATCAGGGTTCGGTATTCTACAAAGTTTGAAGCTAGTGATCAACGGAAAAACAGTTTCCTCAGTTACAAGTACAGGTCCTGTGTCTGGTATCTTGGCGTAATTAGGACAAGTGATTTTAGCAATATATGTAGAGTAGACTTCGCCAAAATAGTTTAATAAATTCTCAGCTAGTAAGCCGGAATTTTTGTATAACAGTAATGGGGGGATACCATCAGAGTGTTTTGTTCTACGTTTAACATAGTAAGACAATCATTTCGGAGAAGTACGGCTACCATATTCCATGTGTCTTTCGTAAATAATACGGCATCTATCTATGATCTTTTTACATATATCCCGGATTTTTTATACTCACACTTGAATGATTCGTATCCTGTTGATATGAATAAGTCTCATAAGTGTTTCCTACGATTCAACAGCTTTTGGGTTTCCTTATAAATCAATGGAGGGCTACGTGATATCTTACCAGTTCATCATGATATAAACGGTGATGCGACGTACTCGAATGTAGCCTTAAACTTATTCCATTCGTCTTCGATCGATTCAACCGCATTGACTGACCAGTCAGTCGAGATGGCACAGTCTCTTATTACAGGAATATTTGCTCGCTAGGTATTGGGACAGTGTATACCATATGTCCGGAACTTAAAGTAAAGTACAACGTGATCACTATTCGTTAGTGGGGCA